TCCCCTCTGGCATTCTAGTATCAATGCCGTAATCTCTTTCTGCCCGGTTCCAGTCTGCTTCTTCGCTACCTTGGCATTGAAGTGGCCCATCAGTATAGTATAGTGTGTTTTTACCTTACTTATTGCTGATTTCATGTCCTCATAGAAGCTTTCAACTAGTGCGTCATCATGGCTGGATGTAGGTGCGTAAGCCTGTACCACCTTCATCTTGTGTCTCTTATTGAGTTTAATTATGATATCCACCACCCTTGCATTAAAGCTATAGTATTCCTCTATGTTACCCACTATATTTCTGTCGATAAAGGACCCCACGCCGAGTTCTCTTCTGACAGCCAAGACATGATAGCAAAAGACGTGCCTTCTGTAACACTATATAGGCCTCGTCTGTTCTAACCTCACTGAGCCCTAATACATTCAATTTAACACCCTCTAGCTCCTCGAATAGTACAGCTAGACTTGTCTCACTGGATAAGGTTCTAGCGTTAAACGTTGCCAAGTTCAGGTACCAGTGGCGGCCTGTCCGGACCCAGAGATTCTGGGCACCTTCTTCTGCGTTGCAGATATGATCGCCGCTGTGATCAGCTGCTTCTCAGCCGCTGGGGTCTGAGGGCCATATGCATGTGGGATGTATGCATGTGGGAGGTAGTGACCAGATACTGCACCAGGGGGTGGGGGGGGCAATCCTTCTCTGGTGAGAGAGTGCGTTACGGGCGGTACTGGTGGGGGTAACCAGGGAGGCCACACCCCAGGCCTCTTACTGCAATTCGATCATCATGCGGATATATATATGTATTTTTTAAACCGGTTCGGAACTGCGCAGCACTGGGATTCGAACTACGGATCTCTTGCACGCGAGACTGACGCTCTAACCGCTATGCCATCGCTGCACTCACTTTTCAGTACTGTGATACAAGTCTTTGAATACTGTGATTCAAATACTTTTTCAAATGTATCTCGATGCAGAATCACAGATACTCAAAAGTATCTCAGAGATACTATCACAATGCTCTTGTATTGCGATACTGCCCAGCCCTGATTACTATACCAAGGCCTCTGAGACGTCAATATTACAGGAGCTTCACCATTCTCTTTGCCATTTCGGCATAGTTTGTTCACTTTGCACGAACTATGATGTTAAGCCTTCCTTGGATGCAGGCCAGTGGCAGAGTGTACCATGTCCATGCATGTGAAATCCGCTCAACTACTGCACCCCCAGGCATTGAGTAACAGAGGCTCATCACAAACTTCAGTAGTCTACTAAAACAGACGTGATAAGCGGCTGTGATTGTGATGTCGCATTTTCACGCCTGGTTGATGAACCCTTACTGACTAGGTGCTTGTGCACTATCTGTATGATGTGCTATCTTTCTTCTCTCTTTCCTCTCCATCTCAATCTCCCCCAACCCGTTCCCACGTGTAGAGTAGCAAACCGGTTATTCTCGACTGGTTGACCACCCTACCTTTTCTTCCCTACCATTCTTGATTTAGTTGAAGCCATCTTTGCAGGAAGAAAGGGTGGTATTATTACAGAGGAACACCTTACGCGCCAGCTCGTAGTTGCGTAGTGCTTCAATGCTAGTGTCGAGGACCTCTATAAAGTTTCGCACTTCGGTGCTGCTGCTGCTCGAGTAAGGCATTGTAGGTAATACTCTGGAGGAACCCTCCATGTGACAGGACGGGGGATCTCTTCAGAGCGGTCACATATTAAAGGCAGTAGTCTTTCTTGGGATACTTGTATGAAAAATTTTGGTCTGTCTGTCTGTTGGGTGGTGGTTCATTCATAGTTCAGCCACCCAGCCAAAGTTTAAGCACTTGCCGAACGCCAGGCCATCTTGAACTGGTGGTTGCATTCATACTTGTGAATATTGTCGATCTTTGTAAGGCAAATATTACGCATATTTGAGGCCCAACATCAATGCATAAGTTTTGATGTTGCACTGCAGATATGCCCGTAGTGACTAGAGAAATGGCCTTCGCATTTAGAGGGGCCCTGAAACACTTTTTCAAGTAGCCAAGAAATGAATTCACTGGAAGAGCTTATTGCCTCATGAATTCAACGCCGCAAAAATGTTAAGAATCCGTCCAGTGCGAGTGGAGTTACAAAGGTTCGTCACATGCTGCAATTGCATTCTCTTTTCTCTCGTCCCGACGAAAGCGCTTGAAGCTTAGCAGCGAGGGATGGCAGGGCCACAGAGAAACGTCATGCGCGCTTCGCGACCTTGAGCACTTTTTTCTTTTTTTCTTTGAATGCATCACTTTTTCAGCGTAATCGCGCACGTACGCATGAAAAAGTAGCGGTCGTCCATGGCGATCTCTATAACGAGCTAGTGCACCTTGTTCAAATCGGCAAATGGCTGATAGATCGGTAGTTAGCGTGCGATTTTTGGGCATATAGCGTGATTTGTCCAGAGAAGAGAAAGCAATCTTTAGCTGACTTTGATAATTTATTGGGACTTCCAGGCCGCGTGCTTTGCTGCAACATTTGGCTCGCGTGTTGTCCGTTGCCTCTACTACCGATCGGCAGCGTTTTCTGACCATGTTCAAAAAGTGTTGCTGGGCCCCTTTAAAGGGACACCGAGGATGAATATTGAGTCGATGTTGATTGTTCAAATAGAGGTCTAGAAACCTCGTAGATAAGACCCTAGTTTTTTTTTTATGTTGGCTAGAATTGTGACGCTATGCACGAAAAGCCCTCTGCCGACGATATGGGGCTGCCACCTGGCAGGACAAAAATGGTACGAGAACAGCATCACTGGTGGCCACAGATCAGACTCAGACCAGGACTCGTGTAGTACGACCGGCAGAAGACTGACTATCATCTTTCGGCGGCATTTGCAATGAAGCACGAAGATACAGGGCCATTTTTTGTCAGACGAAAACAACCTTATTTTTGAAAAAAAAAAGGGTAATTGATCACCAGTAACCAATTATAAGATAATGTAATTCATTATGACTAATTGATTACTTGTAATGGGTTGCATGCCACTCTGAACATTATAAAATTAAAAAAAAAGTGGTCCTATTACAGACCTGTAAGGAATGCTTGCACGGTGTCTACCAACCTGGAAAACGGGGAAAAGTCGGGGAAATGTCGGGGAATTTCTGAAAAGCATAGCCAGGTTATAGAAACTGACGGCAGTCTGTGCGACCGTCATAGAAATAAGCATTTTCAATCATGAAAGCTTAAAAAGTCGCTCCTTCGGCTGCAAGTAACTGCTAGAAGAGGTGTGAAAAATGGCAGTGCATAACTGTCGCTTCTTAGCGTAAATGCGAAAGGATACACCGACCAAAGGAATACAACATAAAGCTTACTGATGTTGCAGCACCTCGTACAGGAGCCTTGTTCATAATAAAGCCATAAGAAAGGCACAGCATGGAAGCACATCTAAGTACGGGATGCAAGCACCGAAAGTGCATTGTGGGAAGCGTCCCATCACTCCTGTTCAGCGTATGTGTAGTTGTATGTATGTGCAGGAATTCCAGGTACAGGCTTGATTCTAGCTTCTTTTCTTTGGCCAGAACACGCGTGCTTGACTAGTCAATTTGGTGACCTGTAAATTCCACGTGTTCAGCGAGGGCATTCGAGGCCATGTGATGTCATATTCGTGTCGTTTAACTCTTTTTTTTTTGAAATCACCGGTCTCACTAATGTATTGGTTGTCATAATCATGGCAGCTTTTAGCGTTAACAAGACCAAGGAAATTTCCACTCGGCAACTTGTACTTAACATTGGCTAAAGCATTTCTTAGCTTCTATGTTGGTACATGCGCTATTTTAACGTTTGTTCTTTCTACATACCAACCAATCATCATACCTGAAAACGAGCCCTTACATTTACACAGTCCGTCATTCATAGCGAGAGTCTCGTTCTGGCAGACTTGATGCCTTGAGGTGGTATGTGAGAAATTATTGGTCAGCTGCCATCTCGTAATGAGATCATGTACTACGTGATACCAAACAGGCAAAAAGAGTGTTACATACTTGCCACTATGGCAGCAGGGGGTGCTGACTGACTCTACCATGTTTAAATGCACATATATCCTGTATAAAGTAGACTGAGGGATGACCGCTACCGTAAGTAGAACATCAGACGTGTTATTCGAAGGTCACAGGCAGGTTTGGATCATGCCGGTGGCAAGTTACCTTTTCGTCCACTTTTCTGATATATGGGGTTCAACGTCCCAAAACCACCATATGATTATGAGAGATGCACGTCCACTTTTCTTGCTTCACATTTACATTACAATTACTTTTAACATCACCTATACTTTCTCTGGCATTATTGTATGTTGGTTCTTATAAATATGTCTAGCAAAAAAAAAAAAAAAACGAGCCCTTAAATTTATACTTTCCTCTGAGCAGAACATTACTCACATTGGTAAATTTCTGCATATTTGTCTTAGCCACGATTTTGGCTTGGCTTGAAAGGCTTCTGGTTAGGTTAGAACTGCCATCATTAGAGGCTTGCCAGGCTATGTCATGATGTTAATATTATTATTATTTCTATTTATATTACAAAAAGGTGCTTATAATAAACCTTGATATAATGAATCCCCCGATATTACAAAGTTTTTTTATTCCCCACTGTTACTCTATAGAAGCATATGTATTTGCCACCTCTGTGTAACAAGATAACGCTAGACAACCTTGATATAAAAAGTTTTTGTCCTGGACAATTACTTTTTTGAAGGCACTACCACGGCCGACGAGTCATGCGGCGCGCCTCTCCTGCAAGCAATGGGAAAAGCAGAATTTTTCTTTGGTCACAAGTGACATAATCAAAAATGAATTTGCACTATAATCCTAGCCTAAGATTTGACTGTGTTTAGGCTTGAAGTAAGCGTAACTGATTTCAGGATAGATAGATATTTAATTACAAAATAATTAGAACGAGTTGCTATAACACACATAAATTCAACATTTACCTCATTATTATTGTTGCTATAGAATATTGAGTGCCTTGAAGTAATGCCGTAGTGATTTGGTACATTTACACACAGGTCTTCATCGGTGGCATCTGAAAGGGTTAATGATTTCTTGTATGCAGGCAGTAGCAGCTCATCTCAGGGCTGTGGAGTTGGCCGATCGGCACAGGCGTGGCTCTCCCGAGCCATTCAGAACCTGAGTCCTAAGCTTGCTCGCAAGTTTCAACAAAGCACCGGTTCAGGTGCAGCTCGCCGAGCCTCCTGTAGTCGAGCCCCTTCTTCCGAGTCTTTGCTTAAGGCTCCACCTGTCCAGAAAAAGCGAACCGGAAGTGCGACACGACCGAGCTCCTTGCCGTCAGGTGAGGTGCATATCTTGAAAAATAGGGAAAGAAAAACATGTGCCATGTAGGTTCTGCATTCCACTATGCCTGCATGTAACGAATGTGTGCTTCGAATTATTTTTTTCTTGTAAAGTAGCACTAAGCTGTGGGAATGTGCCAAGCATGTCAATGTGCTGGCTTGCATGGAGGAAATGTGGAACCATCAAAGATGTGAGAAATGTGCCAAATGTCTAACATGTTTGCTGGCACATTGGACATTCTTCAAGACATTTTATTCTACCTAATGAGGCATGCACTTGGGGTACTATGGTAGAGCATTATGCTTCAGCACTAGTTACCCAGTGGTCAAGTCCTGCAGCCGGAAAATTAAAATATATTTATTTGTGTTTATTAATGTCTATCCAGAGTACATATGCATTGTGCTGATGTCACTTGTGCACACGTGTAGGTATGGGTGGTGTCACTTGATATACATTGCCTAACTAAAACTTGTCACCCCACTGCGGTAGTGTGGTGGTTATGGCGCTCGACTGCCAACCCGAAGGTCGTGGGATCGTATCCCGGCTATGGCAGCTGCATTTTCGATGAAGGTGAGAATGTTTGAGGCCCGTGTACTTAGGTTAGGTGCACATAAAGAACCCAAGTGGTCGAAATTTCCGGAGCTCTCTACTACGATTTCTTTCATGATTATATAGTGGTTTTGGGACGTTAAACCCAAACAATTATTATTATTATTATTATTATTATTACTATTATTATTATTATTATTATTTTCGTGGTCGTCGATTCGGCAGGCAATAAACCTCTTTAAAGGACCCCGCACCACGTTTGACTATGTTAAGCTGACGAGAGTAATGCATACACTGGGCATTCACGATCACCTCTGCCGAAATTCGCCATGAATGGGTCAAATTTCAAGATGTACGCTGCTTGCCCTTCAGGAATTCCCACAAGTTACCTGTGGTGAGCCTACAAGGGTAAGAGCTGTCTACTGACCCCTCTTGACATAGCATATGTATCAGCGTGTGCGACCGCACCCATTTGATGAAAGTTCATAGTTGCTGCCCGCAACCTTCGTGCTCCTTCGCCTGTTTGGAGCTTTTGTTTGCACATAGTACATACAACACGTGGGGCAATGTTATCAATTCAGACTCTATACGGAACATGACAGCAATGAAAAGAAACTGTGCCTCGAGTGTCCATATAATTGGTATTGTGAAACTAATCAAGAGAAAAGTGGTGTAGGCATAGCTATTAAATGACATCTGAGGCAATTTTTTCCGCTCGTTGTTCTCAGCAATAGAATGAAAAGTGTAAGTAGGCATCTTTGCATTTTAGCACGAGTAGAGTGAAGTATTATTCATGTGTGGTCATCTTTATTTGGATTCCTACTTGCTTTGTTTTGTGTGATGTCAATGATGATTTTGTAGAGCAGTGGTCTTTATTGTCATTTTGCAGGTGAATCAAAACGAACAAGTGGAGCTTCTAAACAGCAGAGATGCAGGGCACTCACTGCACCAATAGAAGACCCTCTTCTTTCTTCATGTGCTAGAGGGCTTGACAAGCAGTGCTCACCATCACTTGATGCCACTTCTGCTGCTGGCCCTGTGGCATCAGAGTCTTGTGACGAAGCTAGGTGTCCTAATGCGCAAAGTACTGAAGCTAGCAGGCCAGAGGCGTACGGTGTAGTACGTCTACGTGAAGTGCTGGCAGTGCTGCGGAGTGACATCAGCTCTGAAGAGAAGCTGGTCGCCATCAAGCGTGGACATGATCGCTGGTTTGCAGTAGGCTCGTCCATGGGTGACGTGTCAAGGCTGCGTACTGGGTCGCAGCAAGGTGCCGAGAGCCAGCATGCACGACGCAGTCTTCACAAGCTGCAGGACATGAAGCAATTGGGTCCCATTCTAGAATTGCCGAAAGGTCAGTGTCTCCACTTATGTAGAGTACTTTGACTTTCAGAGCTTCTAAAGTTGTGGATCTTTTATTACCACCTTTATTATCTGCTCTATAGCAGTTCTTACAGACACAAGGACACTGGTTGATTGATCGGATAATGTTCAGACATTATATGCAGCATTTTCAGTGCTTCGTGGTTATCTCTGCAAATAATTTTTTTTTAGTAATTCAGGTGAGTGTACGTTACAGTAAAAATCCTGAAAGTATTTTATCAGTGCTTGTTACAAATTCAAGATGACCTATAAATCTCCCAAAGTGTACTTTGAGGGATTTGTGGGTTTGGGGTCTGCCGCTAAAGTTTTGTATGTTTGGAGAAGCTGCCGCTTGAGAAGACAGAGAACACTTACTTACAGACACAAGAGTGGAGGTTGTTGCAGTGATGTACACTTCTATTCATTGATCTATTTAACTTCTAAACACGAATAACCATGTATTCAGTGACTAGTAAATTGGGACATGAGGTAGAGGTCTTGTTTTGTGACAAAAGCAGAACTGTTTGAATAGTAGGGCAACTTATTAAAAAAATTCTCAACATAATGCTTACAAAGTAATGATGAAATACTTTTGTTTCTGATTGCCCCCGCCTTCACATACTTTATTCTTTGTCTTATTACATAGTGCCTTTTATGCAGGTACATGCTAAAATGATCTGAAATTGGAGGCTAATTAATGTTTCTGCATTGCACTAGCATGCAATTGAGTGTAAACCTGCATTAGCCTGCAATCGAGCTCGCTAGCTAGTTCTAACTTTACAAACGAGCTCACTAGCTCGTAACTTTACAAAAATCTGGCCTATAAGAATGCGGCAGCTTTTGGGAAAGCAACCCTTTTGACCCAGTTTCTTTGCGATGAGAGAGCCACATGTAGAAACGTATACGAGCCAGCTGGAGATGGCTGCTGAGATATTGCACGCGCCAGCAACTGCGACCGCGCCCTTACAAGCTAAGTTCACAATTGCTGCCCAAGTGACTACTCCAACACCCCATTCCTTCACCCTGCATTTTTTCATGCTCATTCAGGATGGGCAGGGTGTTTTTTGTCTGCTTCAATGGTAGGCGCCCCGATTGGGTGATGTTACAAGCACTCTCCAAGTGACTAAATAAAGCCGGCTCGTCTGATTGCTGCTTCAACCGCGTTCGTCGCCTCCGCTTGTGCGCTTTTACCTGCAGATAGAACAAACGATACGTGTTTGTATATTATCAGTCTCATTAAAGAACCCCAGGTGGTCTAAATTTCCGGAGCCCTCCACTACGGCGTCTCTCATAATCATATAGTGGTTTTGGGACGTTAAACCCCACATATCAATCAATCAGTCTGGACTTTATATGGGACATGACTGCAACGGTGGTGGCAAAAACTTGTCGAGAGGTGCCCATATAATTGCTTTTGAAATAATGAGGCTATGGTGCAATTTAGCGTAATGGTTGAAAAATGCGGCAATGGACAAATGTTTCTTCACTAGTTAAATGGGGCTACATTTAATCTGAACATTCTGACTGCTCCAAACTTGCTCGAAAAGGCATTTCTAGCTGCTTCAAGCCCACTCCCAAATGTCTTTTTCGATGCTCCAAGCCTGCTACTCAAGGCACATTTATCTGCTCCTAGGAGTGCTCCCAAATCCATATAGCCTGTTCCACCCCTGTATAGTGGTTTTAGGACATAATACCTTCGATATTATTATCATTTAAAATCTTGTGCTCATGGGGGTACATTGCTGTTTAATTACTCTATTTGTTGCAGTCTTATGAGAAAGTTTCATGGAATAGTTTCTGCACTTATTGAGGTCATAGTAAATCGCTCATGAAAAATTGGGACACCATCCTAGCAACTCAGTGGCTGTGGTGTTCTGCTGCTGAGGACAAGATTGTGGGTTTGAGTCATGGCTGCATTCTTATCAGGAAAGACACCAAAAATAGTTGTTTGCCATGCAGTGGTTTTATATTAAAGGGGTCATAAACCAGGCCTAGTGCTTGGTGCGAAAAACACCTTAGCATGTGTCTCCGAGGAATGCATAGCCGAAAAAAATTTTCAGGAGGAAGTAAAGTAGGACTGGAGATACAGTGATAGCAATATTTGCCTGATGCATTCCCCTTGGACTCTTCATTTTGCAGAAAAGGGAAGTGCGTTTCACGGTGCTCGCCCAGTGCCTTCCTTCAGTGTTGTGTGGTTTGCTTTGCACGTAACTGGCGGTTATCACAGCTGCTGCTAGAAACTCATAGTTCCCAGTCGATTGCTTCTCTCTGCGCTGTAGCTGCTGTAGCTGTGTGGTCTGTTATAGTGTATCTCTATTAGGGGGGAACAATGGATGGCGCTTCAAGCGCGCGCAGCTGAAGCCACCACAAGCCGTTGTTTTGGCCCGGAAGTGAGCATGCGACCACTTGTTCGCTATTGACGGGCCAGGACTTCTTTTCCTTAGTTTTTAAACAATGTCTCTCTGAAGTGCTGTAAACTGCTCAAGCTGACTAGAAACCAGTGTGGCGCAGGGTCTGAAATTAGCCATCTAAAGTGCTTTTGAAAATTCTGGTCATGGCGAGATCATAATTCGGACTAATAAACAGGCACTACAGCAAAAAAAAAGAAAGAAAATTTAAAAAGTAAAAACTCAGAAGACTGAGCGTAGTGTTTTTACTTTATAATACTTGATGTTGGTGGCCTGTCTTTATATTACCTTGTTCAGAAATGCAGATGGCTGTCTCTAGGTGCTTGCAACAACCTAACAGAAGATTGATGTGTGGGGTTTAATGTACCAAAACCACCATATGATTATGAGAGACATCGTAGTGGAGGGTTCCGGAAATTTCGACCACCTGGGGTTTTTTGACGTGCACCTAAATCTGAGCACACGGGCCTACGGCATTACTGCCTCTATCGGAAATGCAGCCGCTGCAGCCAGGATTCGCTCCCGTGACCTGCAGGTCAGCAGCTGAGTACCTTAGCCACTAGACCACTGCGGCGGGGAAAACCTAACAGAAGATAGTTAAAGGGCCAGTAAACAGGCTCCTTTTTTTTTACACCCCCCATACAAGCTTGACAATTTGTAGATTAGACCGCAGCGATCACGTTTTCTGAATATTTAAGCGCTGCGCCCCGCGCAGATCCTCTATTTCGAAAAACAATTCCTGCGCATCTTTCCTACGCCTGACCGACCCCCTTGCACGCGCAGTGACGTCAACTCGGCGATCGGCGACGTGACGTAGCACGCGACTCGCCGATCGGTCTAAATCAGGTATGAAAAAACAGTAGTAAAGTCAATGTCAGTTCCTGTTCCCACCCACAGCTACGAAACTACCTCTTGTTTCTTAGCACTGCGGTGAAAGAACCAGCTTTGCAGTTGTCGCTTGCACGTGTACACTCCTCGCTCAGCTACAGTGCCTGTGCGCACATACGAAGATACTTCGCTCTTGACATGAGCAACACGGGTAAAAAGCGTTGCTCTGTCGTCGGCTGTAAATCGAGCGACTGGGCAGCGCAGAAGCATCGGCACCGGGTGCTTCACGATAGGGCCCTGCACGCTGCATAGCTGAAGTGAATCGGCGATCTAGTGACGTACGTCGGGGACCTGATCGTTTGTGGTCGACACTTCGCAGCAAGCGGAAGTGCGTTGCGACTGATCGAGTTCGCCGATGACGTCAATCGCTGACGTGGTGTCAGGTTGCCGAAGTGGGCGGAGTCACAACAATGGGTTACGCCTTCCCCTTCATGGAAGGGAGAAGAGGGGCAAGGCCGCGCGAAAATTTGAAACCAGCTTAAACCGATGTTCTAACCCCTGTAACTTCCTTAATATAGCACCTATTCACAAAATTTTTGTGGCAGCATGTTCGCAAAAAAAAAAAAAAAAAACTACACATATATCTCTTTTTAAAAATTTTTGGACCTCAGGGCTGTTTACTGGCCTTTTAATACATTTGTTATTTGTGTTGCTCGGGATCAACACGTTTATCTGGCACATTAGCTAGATAAACATGTCAGCGTAATTGCAGATGTGTGATGCATTCAACTTCCACTCAAATCTCCATGCGCACATGCTTGAACGTATTCTGTTCACTAAATAGGCCACCTTTACCAGAAGTGAGTCATCTTTTTAAAATCTCGCAACGAAGCTTTTTGATATTTCAGTCTATTTATGTAACTACACCTACTGTAAAAACATGCGTATGGGATAGAAAACGCGAGAAAAAAAGTTTCCTTCCTATATAGCGCAAGCAAAATCAAATACATTGATTCACACACTATTCACCGTCGTTTGATGCACTTTGTTGCAAAACTCCCTAGTCAGGCATGTCCTCCCACAGCCCCTGATTTTCAGTGCCATCAAAGGAGTTTGAAAGTCGAGCACTTCTTGAAGGTACCACGAAGAAGTGCCTCAGGAATGCAGACAAAAGTATTGGCCATAGGGTTAATACTATACTACTCTGGAGGGAAAGCTCCCCATAGGGCCCTCGCATTAGAATCGATAACCACATGAGTGCGGCTATGAGTGAACGATACTCAGCTTTCGGGTGGTCTCACTCGCTTTCACTATTGCATGCTCAAATCACTCCTGGCATTTTTATCTGTATCGTGGCTCTTTGCTTCATCGCAGTGAGAGACTTGCCCCGTATACTTGCTGGGTCATGGCAACAAAAAACATGGACAATGAGACAGTACAATTCATTGAACACGTGCGCAAGCTGGTGCAATCGGCTGCACGGCCTTGCCTTTGCTTTCAAATATTGATATGGCACGAGGATGGTGGCACCACTTAGTCAGAAAAACTTCGAACGCTTCTTTCCCTGCACAGTAAATTGCATGCTAAATTGCATAAATAACATTGCATCTTCCCTAAAAGTACTTGATATAAATATCACATAATTTTTGTTTGTTTATAGTTCCTGATCATGCTTGTTTATAGTTTATACTGCATAAATTTCAGTGTTTTAAACTGCCAGTTTTAGCCCTTCACTGAAATATTGTGATGGTAACAA